ATGCTCCTCTTTGATCTCATCAATACTGCCTAGACCAACATCTGAATCCATTTACTCACTGTAACAGGGGAAATCATTTCTTTCCAAGTTCACCTGAATGTGGAGCCAAACGTGTATCTATAAATGTCAGAAATCAGAGGCAGAGGTCACAGGAAGCAGTTCGGTGAGAAGGAAATGTCCAGCAGATTCGATCTCATGTGGGGGAAGACACGTAGAAAACACACCAGGGAGAGCCAGTGTTTAAGGCAGTGTTTAAAAGAATACAGTTTGTGTGTTGTTATTTCAGGTAAAGCTAGCCAGTGGTGGGAGGTGGGTGGCGAATTGCCGCCCTGCAGCTCCCACAACAGAGCAAGGCCCATCTGATTTAGGCAATCTCACAGTTGTGGTTTCCTATCCCAGGTGACAATAGTTTACTGTTAAGTTGACAGAAATTATTACTGTGTATATATGAACGTACCTGTGGGACTCAGAGGCCAGTTTCATGGATTTTGCTCTCTCTCCTTTACATGGGTCCGAATATCAAACTCAGGTTGGTATGCTGGTGTGGCACACAGTGCCTTTCCCCCACCTCACTGTCCTGTCCTCATCTTGAGCACCTACTCAGAAACATTCTAAGGAATAAGGAAAAGCTTCCTTGAGCCCTGACCTTGGATTACTTGGCCTTTGGATTTTCCATCGACAGCCAGGAAACACAAAGATTTAAGAACACAGTAAGCGGGGCCAGACGATGGTGGTGCATGCCTTTGAAACCAGCACTCAAGAGGGGGGCAGAGGCAGGAGGATCTCTGTGAGTTCAAGGCCAGCCTGGTCTAAAATAGCTAGTTCCAGGACAGGTTCCACTACATTCCCCATTACATCACTCATTGCAGTTGGGGACAGAAACAGGTGCTCAGTGAGAAGCACCTGTTCATGGGCATATACAAACCAGGCCTTCGCGTCCTTTCCAGGATGTCCAGGGCCTGGTTTTATACACATCACAGTGTCGCTAATGCTTGGTTTGTCATTTTACTTCCTCTTAGAAATTCGGAACACCCTTTCTATCCAGGAACCAAGAGCTCTCAGTTCCATGCCCACAGCCTTGGGCGAGAGGATCTGTTCCTAAAGGGCCCCAAGGTCTTGCGGTGTGACCTATAAGGACTTGTAAGAAGGATGAGCTAAATGAACTGTCCATCCGAGGCAGTCTTCTCATCCCCTCTGCTATGTACCCTCTTTCCCGAGGCATCTCCCTGTCCAGCCATTCCTGCTCCTCAGCTAATTTAAAATAAAGTGGCTTGGCTCTCCCTGGTGTGTTTTCTACGTGTCTTCACCCACATGAGATCGATTCTGCTGGACATTTCCTTCTCACCTAACTGCTTCCTGTGACCTCTGCCTCTGATTTCTGACATTTATAGATACACATTTGACTCCATGTTCAGGTGAACTTGGAAAGCAATGATTTCCCCTGTAACGGTGAGTAGAATGGGTTCAGATGTTGGTCTGAGGCAGTATTGATATCGCAGAGGAGCATGTGGTACCCTGGTGGGCACTAGATCTAGACAGTCACACTGTCAGACTGCTTAGTGTAATGATATTTCATTTATATTTTAGTAAATAAAGCTTGCCTATAGATCAGAGTGTAAAACAAACACCCTGGTCAGCCTCACCGACCAGACAGTGGCATCACACACCTTTAATCCAAGTAGCCACACTAGTTGGTCATAGAAACTGGGCGGGAGTGGTACACGCCCTTTTCCCCGCCCTAGAGAGGAATATAAGACAGGAGGAGACAGCTCTCAGCCAGTCTCATTCTGAGGATTCCTGGAGGCAGGATCGCCACCATACTCGGACTGAAGGAGAGGTATGTGGTAGTGGCTAGCTGCTTTGCTTTTCTGGTCGTCATGTTGAACCCCAATATCTGTGTCTGTGTTTTTGTTCATTGTGCTACAGCTTATTGAGACTTACTCCAGATTCTCTACACCTCCTGATCCTTAGCAGCCCAGCCTGTATGGTTGCAGCAGGCTTCTCAGTTTCTCTGAAATTGAGTCATCTTCAAACACAAACAGACAACACCCAAAACCTTTTTTTCTTTTCTTTTTTTTTTTTTTTGGTTTGGTTTTTGAGACAGTATTTCTTTGTGTAACATTCCTAGCTAACCTAGAACTCACTTTGTTGCCCAGGCAGGCATCAAATTCACAGAGATCCGCCTGCCTCTGCCTCCCGAGTGCTGGGATTAAAGGTGTGTGCCACCACCTCCAGCCTTCCTTTTTTCTTATATAAAGTAAATATGTTTCCTATACATTCTTTTCTGCTTTAAACCCATGACTTGTAGAATTAAACTCTTTTAAAAGTTCCCATAGTGCTTTTGCGACGTTAGTGTAGGATAGAAATATTCTTTTGAGTGGAACAGCAGAAAGTCTGTGAATCTGCAGGCTTTGCTTGCATATTGGTTTGCTGTTTATTCGCCAGACGGCTTTGTGTTTTCTTGGCTTACAGATGCCAAATAACTCTTATGTTAGCAACAGACTTAAGGAAAAGACTGAAATTTTTCATCTAGAAAAGTTTTAAGCCAGGGCTTGAGGGGTGAACATCTTTAATCCCAATATTTAGTAGGCCAAGACAGGCATATCTCTGTGAATTGGAGGGCATCCTGGTCTTCATGGACCAGGCCCTGACTCAAAATATAAAAAGCAAAACAATATTTAAGAGTGTAAGAAAATAAAATACTCAGAAAAAGTATTTGTCAAATACCAAAGAAACCTGAGACATGAGAGTCTCATCGTAAATAATGATTTTATTTTAAAATTCAATTTATTCTTTTTGAGACAGGGTCTTGTATTATTTGCATTGCACTATATTGAACTTTTAAAAATTTGTAGGTCGGTGGCTTCTGCCCGTGCTGCTGTCATAGACGAGGGCGGCTGTTAGTGTGGCGGCTGTTGGTTCGCGGCAGCAGCGGCGGCTGAGGCAGAGGGCGAAGCGAAGGGGAGAAGCGGCAGTGGTGCCCGGCAGTAAAGGTGGTGCCCTGGGCCCGCAGCGGCAGCGAAGGCGGCAAAGATGGCGGACGTGCTCAGTGTCCTGCGACAGTACAACATCCAGAAGAAGGAGATCGTGGTCAAGGGAGACGAAGTCATCTTCGGGGAGTTCTTCTCCTGGCCCAAGAACGTGAAGACCAACTATGTCGTTTGGGGGACTGGAACGAAAGGCCAACCCAGAGAATACTACACATTGGAGTCTATATTATTTCTACTTAATAATGTACACCTTTCTCATCCTGCTTATGTCCGATGTGCAGCTACTGAAAATATTCCTGTGGTTAGAAGACCTGACAGAAAAGATCTACTTGGATATCTCAATGGGGAAGCATCAACATCAGCCAGCATCGATAGGAGTGCACCCTTGGAAATAGGTCTTCAGCGGTGCACTCAAGTCAAAAGAGCTGCAGATGAAGTTTTAGCAGAAGCAAAGAAACCACGAATTGAGGATGAAGAGTGTGTGCGTCTTGATAAAGAGAGATTGGCAGCTCGTTTGGAAGGCCATAAAGAAGGGATTGTACAGACTGAACAGATTAGGTCTTTGTCTGAAGCCATGTCAGTGGAAAAAATTGCTGCAATCAAAGCCAAAATTATGGCTAAGAAAAGATCTACTATCAAGACTGATCTAGATGGTGATATAACTGCCCTTAAACAGAGGAGTTTTGTGGCTGCTGAGGTAGATGTGACCAGAGATATTGTCAGCAGAGAGAGAGTGTGGAGAACAAGAGCAACTATCTTACAAAGCACAGGAAAAACTTTTTCCAAGGACATTTTTGCAATTCTTCAATCTGTAAAAGACAGAGAAGAAGGGCGTGCCCCTGAACAGCGGCCTGCTCCAAATACAGCCCCTGTGGATCCTACTTTGCGTACAAAGCAGTCTATCCCAGCGGCCTACAACAGATATGACCAGGAGAGATTCAAAGGCAAAGAAGAAATGGAAGGCTTTAAGATTGATACTACGGGCACATACCATGGCATGACACTGAAATCTGTAACGGAAGGTGCATCTGCCCGTAAGACTCAAATTCCTGCAGCCCGGCCTGTACCTAGACCAGTTTCTCAAGCAAGACCGCCCCCAAATCAGAAGAAAGGATCACGAACGCCCATTATTATTATCCCTGCAGCTACCACTTCTTTAATAACTATGCTTAATGCAAAAGACCTTCTACAGGATCTAAAGTTTGTCCCATCAGATGAAAAGAAGAAACAAGGTTGTCAACGAGAAAATGAAACACTAATACAGAGAAGAAAAGATCAGATGCAACCAGGGGGCACAGCAATTAGTGTCACAGCACCTTATAGAGTAGTAGACCAGCCCCTGAAACTTATGCCTCAAGACTGGGATCGGGTTGTAGCTGTTTTTGTTCAAGGTCCTGCTTGGCAGTTCAAAGGTTGGCCATGGCTTCTACCCAATGGATCACCAGTTGACATATTTGCTAAAATTAAAGCCTTCCACCTCAAGTATGATGAAGTTCGTCTAGATCCAAATGTTCAAAAATGGGATGTAACAGTATTAGAACTCAGCTATTATAAGCGTCATTTGGATCGACCAGTTTTCTTCCGTTTCTGGGAAACATTGGATAGATACATGGTCAAGCATAAAGCCCACTTGAGATTCTGAATCATTTGATTCCTCCTTTTCTGCAAACTTGGTTTAAGAAGCATGGATATAGCTGGATCTACAGACTGAAACCCAAGCTTTATGAATTCATCAAGAACTTGCAAATGAAGAAGACCACAGAGCAGTCTTTTATAAGACCTCGTTTGATGCTGTGTGCTTCAAAGGGGCATTTCCTCCCATCCATACAAGCCAATTTTTTGGCTTACAACTATTTTTTTATATTAGCCTTCTAGTCTGCAATGGAAATTGTATATTTTGATAGAAGCTTTTTCTCTATTGGTTAAATTAGCATTACTTAAAATTTGTTTCTTTTGAAATAAATGCAGGTTATAAAAAAATTGTAGGTCCGCCTCTCCCTCGTTACTGTCATGGTGGCAGCTCCACCACTCTCCAAAGCTGAATATCTGAAGCGTTACTTGTCTGGGGCACATGGCCTGCCAGGAAGGAAGAGTCCCTTCGGAAGAGGTACAAAAAAGGACAAAAGCCGGGAGGCACCACTGGCAATGGATTGCGGATTATTGATGATGATGTGGGCTGGGCAGTTATCTCTACTGCTAAGCCGGAAAAGGAGGAAGAAGAGGATGGAGATTTGCCTGTGGTGGCTGAGTTTGTGGATGAGCATCCAGAAGAGGTAAAGCAGATGGAGGCCTTCTACTCCAGTGCCAAATGGAAGCTCCGGGGAGACCACAGTGGAGATGGATATTTCCATCATGATGAACGAGATCCAACTTCTCCTAGGAGGTCCCGTCATGACACCCCAGATCCATCTCCTCCCAGGAGGTCCCGTCATGACACCCCCGATCCAATTCCTTCCAGGAGGGCTTGTCGTGACACCCCAGATCCATCTCCTCCCAGGATGGCCCATCATTATACCCCAGATCCCTTTCCCCCAAGGAGATTCCGTCATGACTCCGACACCTCTCCTCCTAAAAGGCTCTGCCATGACTCACATGCTTCTCTCCTCAGGAAGCCTTCAGGTGTATCCCCTAGGAGAGGCTATCCTGGTTCCTCGGGTGTCTCTCCCCCCAGAAGGGTCCATAACCACTCTCCTGACACAGCCACACATAGGAGGACTTTTGACACTTCAGACCCACAGCCTCTCAGGAGGGCCCGTCATGACACCCCAGATCCATCTCCTCCCAGGAGGGCCCGTCATGACTCCCCAGATCCATCTCCTCTCAGGAGGGCCCGTCATTACTCCCCGGATTTGGAGCTGCCCAGAACTAAGAGTAGTAAAGCTGCACCCTCCAGCAAGACTGTACTTCAGAGGGGGCTGGGACCCTCTCACTTGTCACTCTCCAAGGTCAGCAAGTGTGGGCAGGACTCTGATGACCTTTCTCAGCGGAAATGGCAGCTTGCTCCTCAGGTGTCTGCCAAAAAGCCTCTGATTCAGATCTTTGTCCTCCATGGCAAACACAAACTCCAGGACACCAGGATTCTGCCTCAGATCTGTCACTGCCACGGAAGAGACAGAGGCGCCGGAGCTCTGACTCTGACCTCTCTCCACCCCGGAGAAGACAGAGGACCAAATCTTCTGATTCGGATCTCTCTCCTCCTCGAAGGAGTCCCCATCCCGGGAGGAAGACTGCACGCATGTATTCTGGAGCAAAATCTGGGCTGGTGCCCGATGTCCAGCGGGAGCAGCAGGAACGCCAAAAACAGGACCGAGACAACACAGCCCTTGGAGCTCAGTTTGAATTCACTGAAACTGTATTTCGAGACAAGTCTGGTCAGAAGAGGAATTTGAAGCTGGAACGCCTGGAGCAGAGGAGAAAAGCAGAGAAGGACTCAGACAGAGATGAGCTCTATGCCCAGTGGGGCAAAGGGCTTGCTCAGAGCCGGCAACAGCAGCAGAATGTAGAGGATGCCATGAAGGAGATGCAGAAGCCTCTGGCCCGCTGTGTCGATGATGAAGATCTGGATCAGATGCTGAGAGAACAAGAAAGAGTGGGGGACCTGATGGCCGACTTCATTAAGAAGAATAAGGCTGAGGAGAACAAGCACAAGAAAGCGAGGCCTCGCTGTAATAGTCCTGCACCTCCTCCCAATAGATTCAGTATCTGGCCTGGCTACCACTGGGGTGGAGTGGACAGATCCAATGGCTTCGAACAGAAGCGCTTTGCCTGGCTCGCCAGCAAGAAGGCTGGGGAGGAGCTTGCCTACAAGTGGAGTGTGGAGGACATGTAGCTTCTCCGAGGCTGTGCGGTGCTGTGGTGGTGGTGGTCCAGGACAGCCCGACATCCAGCTCTAATGCTTGTCTTGCTAGACACAGACCAGCAACTCGCGGTCAGTTCTGCCCTTTGGACTAGGCACCTACCCTTGGCTGTGTCCTTGTTGTCTGTTGACTGACTGACAGCGACTTCTCTATCCCAGGGCTTGTTCTTTGCCAGTTCTTTCCATTTTATTTTTTTTTTTTTTAATTTATTTATTTATTAAGAATTTCTGCCTCGTCCCCACAACCGCTTCCCATTTCCCTCCCCCTCCCCCGATCAAGTCCCCCCCCCTCTCATCTGCTCGAAGAGCAATCAGGGTTCCCTGACCTGTGGGAAGCCCAAGGACTGCCCACCTCTATCCAGGTCTCCTAAGGTGAGCATTCAAACTGCCTAGGCTCCCACAAAGCCAGTACATGCAGTAGGATCAAAAACCCACTGCAATTGTTCTTGAGTTCTCAGTATTCCTCATTGTCCGCTATGTTCAGCTAGTCTGGATTTATCCCATGCTTTTTCAGACCTAGGCCAGCTGGCCTTGGTGAGATCCCAATAGAACATCCCCATTGTCTTAGTGTGTGGGTGCACCCCTCGTGGTCCTGAGTTCCTTGCTCGTGCTCCGTCTCCTTCTGCTCCTGATTTGGACCTTGAGATTTCTGTCCGGTGCTCCCGTGTGGGTCTCTGTCTCTGTCTCCTTTCATCGCCTGATGAAGGTTAATATTCCTGAGGATGCCTATGTGTTTGTCTTTGGATTCACCTTATTTAGCTTCTCTAGGAACATGAATTATAGGCTCAATGTCCTTTATTTATGGCTAGAAACCAAATATGAGTGAGTACATCCCATGTTCCTCTTTTTGGGTCTGGCTTACCTCACTCAGGATAGTGTTTTCTATTTCCATCCATTTGTATGCAAAATTCAAGAAGTCCTTGTTTTTTACTGCTGAGTAATACTCTAATATGTATATATTCCATACTTTCTTCATCCATTCTTCCGTTGAAGGGCATCTAGGTTGTTTCCAGGTTCTGGCTATTACAAACAATGCTGCCATGAACATAGTTGAGCATATACTTTTGTTGTATGATAGGGCCTCTCTTGGGTATATTCCCAAGAGTGGTATTGCTGGATCCAGGGGTAGGTTGATTAAAAATAAACACAGATTGCCTGCTTGCCCTCACCTTGCAGTAAGACCATTTCCTCACTGGCATTAGAGAATTCTTCATCCCATTTCCAGCATCGATTAAAGAGCAGTCGGCTCGTCTAACCTCCTGGACTGAGCCAAGAGAAGACAAATCCTAGTTTTTTAATTTTGGATCCAGTTTAACCTGCAAACTGCCTCCAGGAGAAATGTCACAGGACACCATAGACCAGAGCTGGGACTATGAACTGTTGAACATGCAGAATTTCTCCTGCAAGTAGACCATCCGCAACTTCCGTTTTACTCTGGAGGAAACGAGGGACAGTATTAGAAGCCCAACTTTCTCAACAGGAGACGATAACAAATGGTGTTTGAGAGTTCACCCTAAGGGGGTCAATGAAGAAAGCTCAGATTACCTGTCAGTTAACATAGAGTTGCTCAGCTCTCCAAAGAGTCCCATTATGGCACAGTTCAAGTTTTGGATCCTAAACGCCAAGGGAGAAATAAACGAACATAAGACTAGCCGGATAGAATTCAGTTTCCTACCAGGCTACCCAAGGGGTTACAAAATGTTCATCCTTCGAGATTTCCTCTTAGACCATTCTCATGGATTTCTCCCTGAAGACCAGTTCACCCTCCTCTGCATTGAGATCCTGGTCCCGTACTCCTAGAGTAATCCTGACGACAGCACGGAGCCGAGAATCCAGGTTCCCGAAGCCCCATTAGGAGATGATCTAGGAGCGCTGCGGAAGAATTCGAGCTTCACAGACTGCTGCCTGGTGGTAGCTGGCCAGGAATTCCAGGCTCACAAGGCTGTCTTAGCTGCTCACTCTCCAGTTTTCAGAGCCATGTTTGAACATGACACGGAGGAGAGCAGAAAGAATCGTGTTGAGATTCATGACCTGAAACCTGGAGTCTTCAAGGCAATGATGGACTTCATTTACACTGGGAAGGAACCAGTCCTCCACAGCATGGCAGATGCTGCGCTGGCAGCTGCTGACAAGTATGGCCTGGAGCATTTGAAGGTCATGTGCGAGAGTGCCCTCTGCAGGGACCTCTCTGTGGAGAATGCTGCCCACACTCTCTTCCTGGCTGACCTCCACAGCACAGGGCAGCTGAAAACACAGGTGCTGAATTTTATTACAGCTCATGCTTCCGAGGTCTCTCAGACCACAAGCTGGAAGTTAATGGTGGATTCATGCCCCCACTTGGTGGCTGAAGCATACGGGTCCCTGGCTTCTGCTCAATGCAATTTACTGGAGCCCCCTCTCAAACGTCTGAAGCAATCCCATGAACCTCTCACCGGTACCCTACATGTGTATCCCAGAAGCAGTGGTCAGTGTTGATACCGATGACTCCTGGGTAGACTATGGGATACATAGAGCAATTACAGCAACTCTGCGGAAAGACATCAAAGTTAGTAGTGTTTTAATACATTTATTAATGCCTTGAAAAAAATAAACACATATTTATTTTTTGTAAAAAAAATAAGTAATAAATAAAATTTATGTCTAAGATGTGCGTGGTAGCGCATGCCTTTAATCCCAGGGCTGAGGAGGCAGAGGCAGGTGTATCTCTGTGAGTTTGAGGCCAGCCTGGTCTATAATTTCAATTCCATATGAGAATATCTGAGAACACAGCTATCGGGGTAACATGCTGGAAAATGGCTGATTGAGAAGCTCTTTTCTCACGTTCAGCCACAAAGGATACACACAGATCCTCTGCAAAGATAGTCCCTAGGGGGCCTGGGTATCTCTGCACAGCCTTGGCTGTCCTGGAATTGAAATTATAGACCAGGCTGGCTTCAAACTCATCGATATCACCAGCCTCTGCTTCCTCACTGCTGGGATTAAAGGCGTGTGCTCCCACCGCTGACCGTTAGCCCACTGAGTTTTAAATTCACTCTCACTTCAGCTTTCAGGATATCTTCAAAAGCAAGAACCAGATTCTTTGCCAGAATAGAATGTGAATGGCCTCTCCTCAATTCTCAGCACAGTCCTCTCTGAATCCTCACAAAGAGGAAGGGAAGTGGAAGAGAAAGAGAGACAAAGAGAGAAACAGGGAAGAGAGAGAGAGGAGAGGGTGAGAGAGAGAAAAAGAGAAGAGAGAAAGAAAGAAACCCAGGCTGATCTCAGACTTCAGAGTTTCCTGCCTCAGCCTCTGGAGTGCTGAAATAATATCTGTGTTCCACCACACCCAGCTCAAACATTTTTCAAGAGGGAGGAGAAAAGTTTTTGGTTTGTTTTCAGTAAGGAAATGTCTTAGGGTTTCCATTGCTTTCAGCGAAATGCCAGAAGCAAAAACCAAGTTGGGGCTGTATCGGCGTAAATAAATGCAATGCAGATACTAAAGAATATTTACACTTTAATGATAAACTTACAGAACCGAAGTTCCAGCGTGGCACAGGAGGTAGGAAGGAAAGGGCCGGAGCCGCCTCCCGCGCGCCCATTTATTCGTAGGCATTCGCCCGAGGCAAACCCCGCCCCCTCAAGGGGCTGTCTTAACCCTACATCTCCCCCTTTTGTCTAAATAAGACAGAACTAAACCAAATATAACTATAACAATAATATCAAATGATAAATATAACAAACAATATTGAGAACAAAAGTTTTGCTAGACATTCTATCTCAAGGAGTCTAAATAATGTAGAGAGTAACTACTATTAAATAATCTTCAACTCCATCAAAGATCTGAGAAGGGAATAAATATTACTTAACAAATGAGAGATATCCAAAATGTGCAACAAATGACAGAGACAACTGACTACCTGGACAATCACCCAAAGTCTCGTTTGCAATGTTGAGTCAACCAACTTTGGCTAAGGCCTAACATAACTGACATATCATTATCAAATGCAAGGAACTTTCTTAGAATTATCCTACCCTGTCTTGGCAAGATAAGACAATCCTGTTTCATATCTTAGTCAGTAGTTGAGGTATGGGTTTTTCTTAACCCAAAGGCCAGTTCTGCCAAGAAGACAAGCTCCCAGTGGAGTGTCTTTGGTGCTCAACGTTCTCTCGGGAGTAGAGTGGCATTGCCAGGAGTAATTGTGTCTCGATGGCACAGAATTCTAGGTTAGATTAAAGGCCATTTTCTACAGCTCTTCAAAGAGGCTCAAGATTATACTATCTATACTAAATATCATCTCTATGTATCTAAAAGACCTGATTAACCTAAAAATAAATATGACAAACATCTAATTCTCAATACCTATCTAATTTGAAAACTAAGAGAATAAACAACTGTGCAATATATGAAGACAATGATCTTCACCTGTAAACAATGTCATTACACATCAAAATGTAAACAATGTTATTACATAAATAGTACCAGAGGTAGAAATGTACATTGTGATATGATAGATGTATCCATATAATATAAGCGTACTCTTATACAAAAATAGAGGTAGGCACACTCACATTCAATATTCAATATATCAATATACAAGAAACAGTACCAATATAATTTTCTAAAAACAGTAAGTCACAAATACCAATTATCCCATCAAACCAGTTAATCCCCCCCCCTTTTTTTATATACCCCTAATTCCATACAATATCTCCCCATCCCCTCAACCCTAAACCAACCACTAAAAGATGTCCCTAACCCTGTGGGCAAACTCTGTTGGGAGAGGGGACGTCGTCCTCTTAGATTCCTTCTAGCTGACATGGGGGCGACATTCTTCTTAGGGGCCCCTGTGAAAGCAAATGATGGTAAAATTCCCAAATTAACCTTTGACTTAAGAAAATTATAACTAGTCTCTGAGCATTTTGAGAAGGTCCAGCCAGAGTGTTGTCAAAAATGTGCATCATTTGAAATTGTCTCTTGCAGTTGGTACCAAAAAACAGGTCTAATATTAGCGCTTAAAAAAAATTCATGACGTCATAAAAGCCAGATTGAGTTGATGTTGTGGGGCCCCATCTTCATCCTGGAATCTTCAAAGATTACTGTAGGAAAATATGTTGCTTGTTATGGGAA